ACAAAATTACACTCAGAAAAATGACTGAAGAATAAATATTTGGTTATGGTGTTGGTTGTGCCCAGCAACAAAATGAGCTGCCGCAGGAAATAAAAATTATATAAACATCAGACTCAACGTACAGGAACACAAGGGTATTCTTGTCTTATGGTTATATTTTAACGGAATGTTCAGCTGGTATCAACAATAATGTTGTTTTTAACAGATTTCACACCAAAATGCAATGTCCACATTAATAACCGTGGGAGAAATCGAAATGCGAGCGCACCGTTACTGTAGATTCCTACCGAAAACGTTTAATTCGATGCAAACTGACTGCTATGATAAGAAGAAAATAATTAATTTTATCTGAAACCTACCTGCCAATTTCTCTGTCTTGGGTTTCCGTTGAGATCGCTTGAGTTCCCGGATCCTTGTTTCCAAAGCTTCGATTGTCAAGTTTGTTGCCATGTGTCAAGAAAACTATAGCAAGTATACAGACTGCCATTTCTACTACCTTACTCTCATAGACTTACTTGAAAACAACAACGAAGTTTTTTCCAAGCTCGCGCGTGTACGTTTGAACAAAGATGGCGACATTTCAAACAAAGACTTATGGGTAGTCAATTAGGTTGTTTTTCATTTCTATTGTTAACACGCCAATAGTCTGCTTACCCTTCACAAGCTTGGAAAAACACTGATAACTGCAATATGTGTTTATGTAAATTGTTTGTTTTTACAATGTCCGTCACATCTCGCGAGGCCTCATTCATTCCAAATCAAGCGCTTCCGGTTTCGGGACAACAATTTTAGTATGTGATCTGACTGCCAGGTGGGCAGCACATGCTACCTCGACCGTGACGGACCCAGGGACTGGGCAGCTGTCAACCATGGCAGAATTTCCTCAACCTAAAGAGTGAAACAATATGAACGGTGGATGTATTTCCCGTAATAAAGTACTCCAGAAATCAGTATAAGCTTTTTCAGATTTTCCGACGCGTTGATCGTATATGACCGATCCAATTTGATCCTATTTCTGTGTTTTTTACCTGATATTTAGTCATATCAAGAACAATGTGATGGTTGATCACCTATTATTTTAAAACCACACAGCGTAGTTCCCTAAGATTCTGTAGTAAATTAATATTGCATGCAATAGAACGATTTTACCCGTTTTTTTTGTCATCTAGTGAACTTATAACAGGTATAGTACTACATGTTATGTAATATATGCATGCAGGTGCAGCAAAAGGAATTATCAGCTGAGTTAAAAAAACAAACACAGATGAAAGGATTAACCGATAACACGCTAATTGATTTATTACTTTTATCTTGCACGACGTCTTTGTCAAAAGATAGTCTTTATGTTTGTAGAGTTACTAACGTATACTGAAAAGGTTTAGTACCGTGACGTAGACATTTGTGATGTTTGTAACAACAATAAGGGCGACACACAGGGATTTTCAGGTTGACCGCACTTGGAGAACAATGGACATAATCTGTGATGATAGGCATGCAGGTGACACTAAATTCCCAAGTTGGAAACAAAATAAATTGTACAACGAAGTGATATCCGTAGAAAATACCAGATGTTAGATAATATTTTACATATTCATGACATGGCAACAACAATAAAATCCATTAAAATGACATCTTGGCACAAATTATTTTAATCATCATAATGATAAAACAATTTCATAATACATGTACATAGTACACATCCAGTCTACACTGCAGTTTCATTAAGTATGAAACTGCTTCTGCGAACGCAAGTACATTTATTCTTCCTGTTGACAAATCATCAGTGGTATTGTAAAATATATTTATCTTACATGTTGTATTTATTGCCACAGCGGATATTTATAAATTATACCTTTATATCATTGTTGACACGTTCGTGGTTACGTATGTCAGGATGTTTGGTGACTATGTCATCTACAGTGGAGACAGCTGAGACTCTACAACATACCCAGGACATCCAAGATGTAGCATTTCTCTAAAGCGTACCATCCATACATACAGCCTCGTGAAGTCGGAATGAACTTTTACTTTACACATGTAACTGCTGTTTTGCCATAATAAAAGTGATGAATTTGAAAGTATGGCCAGCATATTATGTACCAAATTGATGAGTTGGTGCTTACTCATATCAATCAAAACAAGCTAAGTGAGTTCAATTTCATTGATTTTCATCATGTAAGTGAACAAGGGGTGAGTTCGTGTCACCTATTTCGCTAGGTATTTCAGATAGCTAATCCCTTAAAACAACATGCACCGTTTCTAAAGAATTGTGACATTATGTAAAAACTTGTCAGGTGTATTATCTTTGGTGTCCAGTGAAACCCGGTCACGTGACATGGAACAGTTTTTGGGGCAGCTGCCGATGAATGGCATATCGTTCCATTATGTGGATACTGATGGATACTTTTCTCGAACAAGGTAATAGCCCATTAGTTTTGTTATAACGTTAGTTGGTTTTAAGTTTGATATCTGTATTTTGTTTTCATTTCTTGTAGCATTCAACAAAATTATTCCACAAACAACATTGTTCATGTGAGTTATAAGCCCCCCCACCTCTCCTCTTCTGACAATCCAGGGGCGTACCCAACAAGATCTCTTAGTTTTTTCAGGTTGTAAACTGATTCCCTTATATTTTAGGTACTCTATGACATATCTAGAAAGCCATTTAATAAATTTATGAGGTTCCAAAGTTCTTATAAATATGATAATGGATCAATAATGATAATGCTATAATTAAAAGGCAAAACGTTCATTGACTTAATTTTCTTTCAATCCCAACATTTTTTCACCACTGGCAGATGACGTTAAACTTAAACATATTTTATATCTATAAGTCTACTGTGTAATTTGTTGAAGCCTGTATTATGTTCTTTATTGGATATTTACGAAACTATTGTCCTTTTTAGTACAGTTATGTGTTATGTGCATAACCACACCCAGTTAGTTGTATTAGTATGTATCACTTTGAGAAAAACAAATGGAAAGCCAATGGGTAACTGAAACCTAATGGAGCCTTATCGGTTCCTCAGTAATTTAAAGGCATCTGTGAGTGTACCTAACAAACCGTTAAGGAGACAAAGTAGAATCTTAAGTTTCCGTAATATGGTTTAACTTTTCCTGAAATTATTCTTCTTTCATGTGACAGTATCTTTTATTTGAATTCTGGTGTACAAAAACACTGAGATCACTAAACTGAAACTTATATACATGGAATACATAGACAGTTTAGCGTAGGTTAATGTCGGTTATATGCGGTATATACTGGTATATATGGAGTAATTTCCTCTACGTTCGTTTCATTGACGTTCCCATCAATGATGGTTTCCAGCTGCTTTATGCAATGGAAACTACCAATGATACTTTACTTTAAATTTCCGTTTCTGGAAACTAACTTTGTTGGTTTCCGGTAGTTCTGATCGCTGAAACTAACCTTGGAAATTTAAATTTTAATGTGTGCATTATATATAAAAACAAATTACCTGTCTGCGAAAGACAGTAAAATAACTAGTCTATCACAAATGTACACTAAAACATATAACCATAAACACTTTAACAGTACAGTATAAAAATGGGCTATTGCTTTTCCTCCTGCATGGGCCCAAGCTGGATACTGTATATAGAAATTATTTTACAAGTGTAACAGTAAATTAATATAGCCCCAATGGAACAACACAAAGCTAAGTTTGCCATTTCATCTAAGCTGAAACCAACAGACTTGTCAGTATCCGGGTACAGAAACCTAGCTGAAACCTACATTACCCAGTATCCAATAGGTTTCCGCAACAACGGAAACTAAGTCATATTGTTATGAATCTTTCAGCGACCTGAAACTAAATGGAAACTCATAATGACAGTTTCAGTTGTAGAAATCAGACGGAAACCTAGATTTGTTAGTTTCAATTTTGTAAACTACGCGGAAACTCACATTGTCTGTTTCCGGATGCTGAAACCTAGCGGAAACGTACATTACCCAGTATCCATTAGGTTTCCGCAAAAATGGAAACGAAGTTATTTTGCTGTGTTGAAAACATTTACTACAGGAGAGGCTCTCAAAATAGTTAAGGGATATAGTTATTTGGATGCAAGAAGAGGTTATAGGGCAGCTTGGTTGGAGTTGGAAGACCGATATGGCAATGAGGAGGTTGTAGCTTCTGCTCTAGTTAAACGTGCTCTTAGTTGGCCTCACATTAGAACAGACAATCCAAAATCTCTTGACGAGTATGCTATCTTCTTACAAGAATGTTTGAATGCTGTGAGTACTATCACCGCTGTCAAAATCCTTGAATATCCTGATAATCTGAGGAAACTAGTCATGAAATTGCCGCATTTCTATCATGAAAAGTGGAGAAATAATGTCTTGCACGTAAGAGATTCTGGAAGATGGGTTGATTTCAAGGACCTTGTTAGCTTCGTCAAGCGTGAAGCTAAGAAAGCTACAGATCCCATGTTTGGTAAGGATGCATTAAAGGCAGAAGAAAAGAGTAAACCACCTGTAAGAAAACCGGCAGCTACATCAATAAAGCCTTCGTTCAGTACTGATATGCTAGGACCAAGCAAGCCCTCTAGGAATCTTCTGAAACCACCTTCTGTTGCGTATGTTGCAACACCTGTCAGAACCCAGAGTGAGCAAGGACCATGTATTTATTGTGATGATCTAACTCATTCAGTTGGTCAATGTAAAAGGATTATTTCAAAGCCTCACATGCAAAGATTGTCGTTTCTGCGATCAAAAGGCCTCTGCTTCAGATGCTTAAATCGAGGGCACATGAGTAAGGGTTGTGTCCAGAAGGTTGTTTGTTCACATTGTGGTGGGAACCATGTCCATTCTTCATGTTGACCGGAACACAGAGGTGAAGGTTATCAGTGCCTGTTCTGAATAAACTAACATTCCAGGTACCTCTAACTATGAAAGTACTCTTGCTATCATACCTGTTAAGGTAGGATGTAGAAATGGCCTTACTGTTGGGACAACATATGCTTTCTTGGATCCAGGAAGCACCATGTCTTTCTGCTCAGAAGATCGTATGAACAGGCTTGGATGTAGTGGGAAGAAGATGGAAATTACCATTGACACTATGGGACATCCACATACATCAATAGTTCAAGCAGTAAATGGTCTTCAAGTATACGATCTTGAGTTGAAGAATGTCATATCTTTACCGACAGTGTACTCAAGGGAGCAGATACCTGTATCTAACAAGCACATACCCACGTCCTTTGATGCATCACATTGGCCTCATCTAGCTGACATCAGAGTACCAGAAATTGATGCCAAAGTTGCGCTTTTGATTGGATCCAATGTACCAGATGGCTATTATCCACTTGAGATTCGAACGGGTCCACAAGGTAGTCCTCATGCTTCTAGAACTCAGTTGGGTTGGATTCTTTGGAATGTCATGCGAGCTCAAAAGCTGGAAGAAGGAAATCATTTCCCATCCATGAAAACGGAAATTGCCTTCAAGAATGCTGAAGAAATAAGTAGACTTGACAAAATGGTGAAAGAAAGTATGAACTTTGATTTTCCAGAAAGGAACATTGATGACAAAAATGAAATGTCGCAAGAAGATAAAGAATTCATCATTGCTGTATCAAAGTCTATTAACAAGCAAGAAGGTCACTATGAAATCAAGCTGCCCTTCAGAAGAGAGAAAGTTGTAATGCCTGACAATTCAGCACAGGCATTGCATAGACTTAATGGTCTAAAGAAGAAATTATCCAAGCATAAGAAATTCCAGGAAGACTATAAGGTATTCATGAAAGACATACTTGATAAAGGATATGCTGAGAAAGTACCGGTCAGTGAAATTCATGGTACCCCAGGGAAGGTATGGTACTTCCCTCACCATGGAGTGTATCACCCACGTAAACCTGAGACGATTAGAGTGGTCTTTGATTGCACAGCTGGTTACCAGGGTGTTTGTCTAAACAGCATGTTACTACAAGGTCCGAACCTCACCAACAACCTACTTCGGATGCTGCTAAGATTCCCTCAAGAAAACATTGCTGTGATGGGAGATATACAAGCTATGTATTATCAAGTGAGAGTGCCAAGAGAGGACTGTGACTTTTTGAGATTTTACCGGTGGCCAGATGCTGATTATACACAGGAACCACAAGTGTACAGGATGCTTGTCCACCTTTTAGGAGCTGTGTCACCCTCAAGGTGTGCTACCTTTGCCCTGCAACAGGCAGCTAAGGATAATAAAGATGAATATGACCCTGACATTACAAATATGATAAAGGAGAACTTTTACGTGGATGATTATCTTGCTACTGTTCAAGATGAAACACAGGCTGTACGTGTTGTCAAAGACGTTACAGACTTATGTCACAAATGCGGATTTAGACTTACCAAGTGGATAAGTAATAGTCATGATGTGATGAAATCTATTCCATCAGAAGAAAGAGCTAAAGATGTGAAACAGTTGAACCTTGACTGTTGAGACCTTCCAAGTGAAAGAGCTTTGGGCGTGTTTTGGTTTGTAGAGTCTGACACCCTTGGATTTCAAATTCAAAGTAAACAAAAACCAAACACAAAGAGAGGTATCCTTTCCATAGGTAGCAGCATATATGATCCTTTGGGTTTCATAGCTCCATTTGTGCTCCATGCAAAACAGTTGTTGCAATGCCTTCAGATGAAACAATATGCATGGGATCAAGAAATAGATGATGCTTCACGAGGAAAGTGGCAACTATGGCAACAGAACTTACTTAGATTACAGGAAATCCATATTCCACGTTCTTACAAGCCTAAGGACTTTGGCAAGGTGGTATCATGCCAGATACATCTTTTCTTTGACGCCAGTGAAATTGGATATGGAGTCGTGGCTTATCTCCGCCTCTTGAATGAAGTTAACATTGTTCATTGTGTCTTGGTTATGGCCAAGTCTAGAGTTGCCCCACTGAAGAAGATAACCATTCCTAGAATGGAACTCACGGCAGCTGCCCTTGCTGTACGATTGTCTGGCATGATCACTCAGGAGCTTCAGTATCACATAAGGGTCATTCTAAAAAAAGGGCCAAATTCGTGCTATGAAAATATGAAAATACAAAGCATCATACTGAATTATCTCATTATTGTTTTGAATGGTCAACACATTAAAAAATGCGGACATTGATAATTTGCACACAGGAAAGTAATAAAATATTTTTAAAATAATATAAAAGGTTTTCCAAAAATAATATTAAAAACAATAAAATGAACATATTGTAGTAATACTGTTACACCAATGACATTTTTTGTTACACCACTGATTTTTCTGAACTTTATATACTAATATACCAGAACAAATTACCTTCACAGACTTTACATGAGTTAATGGTCATAAAATATACGGGATAAATACAATGCAAGGCAATTGAGTTTTGTGAACAAATGACTTAAATGAACGTTTTGTCAGTGGTGTAACGAAAACTGTCAGTGGCGTAACATTTTCCCATGTTATACCACTGACAGTTACACCACTGACCTATTCCCACTTTTATGAACATTATAACATTTAATGCCCCCTAACCACAGACCACCTGGCATAAATGTTGAGGTTTTAGCAACTTTGATGTACTTTAAATAAACATTGTTATGAAAAAGAACACATGAATAAGAAATCAACCTTACACCACTGTCTCGATAAAAAGTTATGATATAAAGTAGACTCACCAACTGCATCGAACTTCAACATCAAAATAAAATTTGGCCTCCACAAAACTTCTGCCACGAGAAGAAAGTCATCAGCAAAGGGACCATTTAGTGTTTCATATTTTTTACTCAAACGAGATAATTATTAATTTCACAAGTTTATATTCGTTACACCACTGACTGTGACATTTTGGACAGTCATTGTTTTCATTGTAATTATATGATTTTCATTTTGTTTTCAATATTTCATGCAGGAATGTGTTTTTAATATTGGTGTTTCATTCTAAATCTTTAAAAAATATGTATAAATACCCTGGAATTTAAACTGTATGGGACTGCAAAGTAATGTCGCTGCCCACTGACAGTGGCTATTCTTTCAAAATGATGATATAAACCCAATTTGTCCCAAAAATAACAAACAGGTACACCATTTTACATCATTATGAGGAACAAAAATACATTTTTCTTTCATAATATGATTTGTTGGGCAAATTTTGAGAATGACCCATAAATGACACCATATTTTGGACAGACAGTATGTCTGTCTTAAGATACATCTCAAACACAACTTCACGTTTCAAAACATTTGTGGCTAACCGCTTTGCTGTACTACGTGAAGCTACAGCTGTACATCAGTAGACATTCGTTGACACAAAGTCAAATCATGCAGACTATGCTTCAAGGGGTATAAATCTTGGCAATCAAAGGCAGATGAACTGTTGGTTTAATGGACCAAGTTTTCTTAGGCACCCTGAAGCTGATTGGCCTCAGTCAGAAATCATGCCAAGTACTTCCATGGAAAAGAACCCTGAAGTAAAGCAGTTTGTAAACTATGCTACTTTACATCCAGACAGTGGTGTTTTCAACAGACTTGTTGACCACTATTCTATGAAAAATGAAAAGAGCAGTCGGATGGTTAATTCTAGTCGTGAGAAAACTTCGACAGAAGAATTCGCGTAATAACGATGAACACAAAGATGACTTTGACAATTATCAGATGTCTACTGATGTGCTTCAGAGTGCTGAAAAATTACTGATTCAAAACTGTCAGTGTCAACACTTCTCAAAGGATCTTGAAACCTTGAGAGTAAAGAATTTCTCACTCTCAGGTAAGACAGTATGAAAGACCAGTGCCTTATATAAGCTTGATCCATTTCTCGAAAATAATGTTATCCGAGTGGACGGACGCCTTGAGAAATCCAAGATCAACTATGAATCAAAGCACCCAATAGTTTTGCCAAATAACTGTCATCTGTGTAACCTTATAGTTAATGAAGCTCACAAGGCAGTTGGACATTTTGGAAAGAATGCTATTCTGGCCCATCTCAGGCAGAGGTTCTGGATAATTGGAGCCAGATCTATCATCAAATCACAGCTTGCAAAATGTGTCATTTGTCGTAAGTATCAAGCCCCTGCTGGTCAACAAAAAATGGCAGATCTTCCAGAGAACCGGTTAATGCCAGACATGCCCCCTTTTACCAATGTTGGTATTGACTACTTTGGCCCATTTCAAGTTAAGCGTGCTAGAAGCCGTGTCAAAAGGTATGGTATGCTTTTCACCTGTATGGCTATTCGGGCTATTCATCTGGAAGTAGCAAGCACTTTGGATAGTGATTCATGCATAAATGCCATCAGGAGGTTTATTTCCAGGCGTGGTCCACCCATGAGTATTCGATCTGACAATGGTACCAATCTAGTTGGTAGTGAACGGGAGCTTCGTGATCACTCTCTAGTTTCAATCAATCAAAGTTAACTTCAGCATTGGTAAACGAAGGTATTGAATGGCATTTCAGCCCTCCAGCAGCTTCACACTATGGTGGCATCTGGGAAAGAATTATACGAACTGTTCGCAAAATCATGTACTCACTGATGCATGAGCAGGTCATAAAGTTAGATGATGAATCTCTAAATACCCTTTTCTGTGAAGTTGAAGCCATAGTGAATGGAAGGCCAATTACAGATGTGCCATGCAGTCCTAATTTTCTGACACCCATAACGCCGAATCATCTTCTGTATTTGAGGTCTGGTGAGACGATGCCCATTGGCACATTTTCTAAAGATGATGTGTACAGCCAGCGCAAATCGAAACACGTACAATATCTAGCAGATATATTCTGGAAAAGATGGAGCAGAGAATACCTTCCCTTATTGCAGGAAAGAGAAAAATGGAACACTAGCAAGAAAAACATTCAAGTTGGAAATATTGTGCTTGTCATGGACAGTTCACCACGTAATGCATGGGCACTTGGTCGTGTCACTGACGTTTTCAGAGACAGAAGTGGCTTAGTGCGAACTGTGAAAGTTAAAACCGCTACTTCTGAACTCACGAGACCTATTGGCAAACTGTGTGTTATTCTGAAGAATAGTGATTGAATGTGTTCCATGTAGTAAGGACAGCAGAGAAGTACAACAACAGTATTAAGGGGATAAGTTATATATATTTTACTTTGATTCATAAGAAATGTTCGTTTTGCCCCCAAGATACCCTTTTAGTAATTGTTTCACTATTGTTCTACAATTAGGAGGCCGGTGTGTTGTGGCCAAAGTCAACTAAGTACTCAAAAAGAGAGAATCATTTTTTCATTTTTCGTGTCCTTACGTTCCAAATTTGTATCATTCCCATTTCACTTAAGTTCCTAATTTAAATTCATATTTCATTTAAGATTTTATGTTTTTGATACACCAGTCTATAAGTTACCCTTCCATACCTGTTAAGGGGAGGTAAATGCCTTGGGTCAGGTATATCATTTTCATCCCTTTCAGTCAATCTGCATTTAACTGAACTTGTATCAAGAAATGTATCAAGAAATAAGAAGACAAAAATAAAGCATTAAAGAAACAAGCCACTTGTTTATTACAATAGTCAGGTGGCTTTTTCAGTGCAAATACAGATTATTATTAATCACAATTATAAGTATGAACAGGGTACTGAAATTGTTGCCTTATTTTTATTGTGTCAATAAATACACACACACACACACACACACACACACACACACCCCAATTCTTTTTAAAAAATCCGCATTTCACTTGTTTAACAAAACCTCAAATTCAATCATTTTTATCATAAACTGAACCATCCCGAGTTATCTCCCTTTATGACCGTTCAGGAAAAATCATGGCGAAACGTTTTGCGTCTCTTTCTGCAGAAGGTTGAATGTTGGTGTTTAAATATAAAATCAAAATATCTTAAGGGTAATAAATTCGTTACTAATAATATGTAAATGGCTGATTCGATTCACAATATATACCTGTGTATAACCATGCTATCAAACTAGTATTGATGCATTTTTGTATGGTACAATTATTTTCACCCCGCATCCGCACTCCCTGTATCTCACGGATGCACGCATATATATCGGAAGATGTGAGATTTCTTCTGTGTTTATTACAAAAGTGGCACATGTGGTTACGTATTTATTTATCTTGCGTTACCGGCTACCGGCCTTGAGGTATTTTTATAGTAATTCAGGTCACAATATATAGTTTCATGATTGCCAGCATTCAGAATGCAGCGGTCTCTTTGACAAACAATAATATTTACGGGAAGTACTTCATTTTGGGGAGTAAGTTCGCTAATGTGTCGTGCAATAATTATCACTGCAACCCCCAAAAAAAGAAAAAAAGCCCCCCCCCCAAAAAAAACCCAAAACAAAACAAAAACAAAAAACAAACCCAAAAATTTGAATCATATGAATAACTGATTTTGTAAATATTTAACTGAGATATACTGGTACCGGGATTATTTTGTTTTGACGTAACAGATCTTTCCAATGTTTAAGCCATTTAGAAGTGAACGAACAAACA